TTAATAAAACCAGTTCCTGGCTACTTCGAGCTTTATGCTTGTGGATTTTTTTCAGTCTCTTTCATTAGGACAAATGTACAAGCACTGTTTTTTAAACTTATTTATTATTCTTTTTTTAAAAAAATCCCCTTCATCCTCTTCCCATTAGAATATGGTTTAGAAAAGAAATGTCCCCCCAACAAGAATGGATTCTTCTCCCCTCTTCCCCCTTGGAGTGAATGTCCTTTTCCTTCCCAAGTTGTGAACAAAACTCACTTGTAAATGGCTGGCAAATTTACAGCGACAAAAGTGACCTTTTTCTTTGTTTGAATATTTTTTTTTAAATATTTATAATTGTTTCTATCAATAATATCTACAATATTGAATGAAAAGAAGCCCAGGTTGAGACAAAAGTGTTCCTTGGCTCCATTCCCCTTCCCTGAAAACTAAATTATTTTAAGATTTTGGATTTTTTTTTTTAAAAAAGAAAACATTCAGATGAGGAAAAAAAGAAGGAAAAAAGCTCGCTTTTGTTATTTTGTTCTTAGAAAGAAAAGACGGCAACAAAGAGATTTACAGATGGGTTTGGCATTTGCCCTTCCGAAGGAGGGATGGCTTTTCTGATAGTGCTGTAGCTGGTATTTTCAAGCAGGCTTGCCCTAGGAAATACAAAACATGTAACATATTGAATCATGATGAATGGTCAGTTGTAATGTGATGGGTGGAGGAAAATGACACTGCCAGAGTTCTAGAGGGTCTCATCTCTGCGGCCTAAGTCAAACAGTCTGAGGATGTGTGCCCTTCACCCCTCACCAAGTACTACTGGGTCATCCTATCTGACTGAGAACCAGGAATGCCTTTCAGATGGCAGCTGGTGCCACTCCATGTTTGAAAACTATTAGGGATTGCAGCTTTTCAGCAAACTTTCATATTGAAAGGATTTGGACCCTCATAATTCATTTAAGACCCTACATAATTTTTTGTCCCTGGCAACCTTTACCTCTTCTACAGCATTTTATTGCCCACTACAATATCAACTTTTACTGTTAATGTAGATATTTTAGATTTGTATTGTTTGGGGGGGGGATGCTGAAATCATGTTTAACCCAGTGCCCTTCTGGTGATAAAAAAATAATAATTTGATAGTTATATATATGACAAAATCCAATATACTGGTACTCTCTTGAATTTTGATCAGCGTAGGGCCTAGTTGATGCTGTACGATTATTTTCAGTATGTCCCTCCGTAACTGGCCTAACGTATATTACTGAAACTTTTAAATGTGGCGGTCTTCATTCAGCCACAAGTGCCTTAGACAATTTGCTCATTTCCTCTCAGCCAGCAGAGAATTATTAGCAATAGCAATAGCGGTTAGACTTATATACCGCTTCATAGGGCTTTCAGCCCTCTCTAAGCGGTTTACAGAGTCAGCATTATTGCCCCCAACAACAATCCGGGTCCTCATTTTACCCACCTCGGAAGGATGGAAGGCTGAGTCAATCCTGAGCCGGTG